TTATTTATCAATCTCTAATACTTTATAGTTACCAAAAAGTTCGAACGAAAGGAATAATTAAACCCATTTTTAAGCTTTAAGAATGCATCCGACAAACTTTTTCCAAGTTTCTTTCTTCTTCTTTAAGGAAAAAAAATAGTGTAAAAATATTCAGTTCAAGCTTCAAGGAATTCCACTTTTGGGGATTGAATGACTACATACATTATCACATCAAGCAAAAAGAATAAAAAAGAAAAAGGGAGGCTGGAAAATAAATAAATCAGCAAAAAAGTATGAAATTGGAAATTAAAAATAAATCATAATAAAAGTCTCGCCTTAAAAAAAGTTTGAAGTTGAAAATTGGAAATTAAAAATTGAAAACAGTTCATTATTAAAAACTGAATATATCAGCAAAAGAGTCTGAAGTTGGAATCTAAAATTAAATCGTCATAAAAATCTCGCTGTAAAACAGTCTAAAGTTGAAAATTAAAAATAAATCAAACACTAAAAAATTGGAAATTAAAAATTAAAAATGAATAATTATAAAAGACAAAATAAATCAGCAAAAAAATCTGAAGTTGGAAACTAAAAATAAATCATAATAAAAATCTTGCTGTACAAAAGTACAACGTTGAAATTTAAAAATAAATAACAAATAAAAACATTGGAAACTAAAAATAAATCATTATAAAAAATTAAATAAATTAGCAAAAAAGTCTGAAGTTACAAATTAAAAATAAATCAAATATGAAAAAGTTGGAAACTAAAAATAAATCATTACAAAATAAACATAAATAGGGAAGAAACTAAAAATAAATCATTACAAAAAACTAAATAAATCAATCATTATAAAAAACTAAATAAATCAGTTAAAAAGTTTGAAGTTGCAGATTAAAAATAAATCAAAAATTAAAAATTGTAAACTCAAAATAAATCATTATAAAATAATAATAAATCAAAAATAAATAGGAAATGTTAGCTTGAAAAAGAATATAGTTTTGATTATGGCAAAATAATTCAAATTTGTATTTGCTTTACTAGAGTAATCCTTGACAAGTTCTTGAAATTACAAACTCTCTTATATTTGTTCTTAGATGATTATAAACTTGATTGTTTTAGTTTTGTGAATTTTTGAAGTTATTAAACTTTCACACACTCACTTCATAAATGTTCACAAACTCGAATGTCTTAGTTGTATAAGTGCTTACAATTCCGCTAACATTCATATTTGAGATGTTAAAATTATAAGATAGGTTCACATAAGTGATTGAGTTCATCTCGAAACATTTAAAGATGTATGAATTTTATATCATCAAACTTGTTTCAAAGAACAAAATTCATTCGTCACTCAACATTTGATTATAAGAAAGATATGATTGAATTTACCTATTAAAATGACAAGAAATCTTGAAGAAATAAAGCTCTAGTCGATCTTACTACAAGACAAGTTTATCCTATGGTAGAATGGGCAAGAATGTACCAAAAGACTTGAAAAGACATAGCCATAGTCAATCCCATAAAAAAAGTAGCCAATCCTGTGACAACTTGGACTAGAAATCTAACTTTTGAAAAGCCATGGTCGATCCTCCAAGAAAGATAGTCAGACTACCCATGCCCAGAACTCCAAAATGTACACTCTTGAGAAACGAATCAAGAAAAAGATGATCATACTCAACTATAGAAGCCCTAATATGAAAATTTGAAGAACTATAGTCGATCTTAAGAGCCTAGTAGTCAATCTGAGAAGCTCAACAACGGTCAAATTTGTTTCGAACTTATGTCTAATAGTTAGATTCTTGCCGACGCATCTCCAACAGCTACATGACATCTATAATTACATAAAGGACCCTTTAACAGCATTTTTAAGTAAGAAAAAAGTCAAATTCTTAAGAATCAGGGTCTTGAAAAGAAAAAAGAGAAAAGCCTAGCAAACCAAGCATTCTCTACATAGGCTGAAATTTTGTATGCTTTCACTCAAATCTTTATATCTTATCTTTATACGCATTATTAAACATTCTTTTTCCATTGTACTCACTTAGTAAAATCTACTTTTTAGAGGCACTTTTGGTAGTTTTTGTAAAATTTCCAACTTAGTCTTGAAAAGTTAGTGTATGGGTTGTACTTAATCTCATGAAAAAATCGTTGTAAGGTTTATCGTTTGATTCTATTTAAAAGTTGTTGTAAGGATTATCGTTTAATCTCGTTAAAAAAATCGATATAAAAGTTATCTTTTGATGTGAAAAAACCATTGTGAGGGTTTAATGTTTGACTTCGCCAAAAAGCACGTTTCCTTGGGTAGATTGAAAACTCAAGCATTTGAGAAAGCTGAATTTCTATAAAATTTTTATATCTTGATTTTGTTTTTAGCTTTGTGGTTTATTAGTGAAATATTGCTTTTGGGTTATTGCCTTGGTTTTCAAAATTGCTTGTGTTCAAAATTACATTTTCACTTCCTTAGTTTGTGCATATTTTATTAAGTACTTTTTAAAAAGTAGTTTTTTTATTAATTTGAATTACATTTGAAAATATTTTCTTAGCTCATTCAAAATGATTTTCATCCAATCCCAAATTATGCATCTTTAGTTGAAAAATACTTGTTTTAAATCATACACTTTTCAAGAGGAATTCTTATTGAAAATTAGTGCTTAAGTTATTCTCTTTAATTCACACTTGAAAATTGTTTTGAGTATTAGCAAGAGCATTCCATAAGTTATTTTTGATAGTGTAAACTCATACACAAATTGGTGTAATCATCAAAAATTTCTTTGGAATTTCCTTCACAAGTTTTGAAAACAATTTTCTAGTTTAAGATGAACTGTCAAATCTTTTTAGTGGACTGTAAGTTTGTCAAATAGTTTTTGAAAAAGGAGTGCTAAGGAAAATATACAATTATAGCCAACTATAGTCAACTGAAGTCTTTCAATAGTAGACTATAATTGTGGACTTCAAGCACTTCAAAATTTTTAATGTCCAATTCACCACTCTTAAGACATCCTTATCACTTACTCATTGAGTTAATATTTCTAACAAATTAGAAATAAAAAATAAATCATTAAAAAAATAAATCAGCAAAAAAAGTCTGAAGTTGCAAATTAAAAATATAAATCATTATAAAATTATAAAAAATTAAAAAATTAAAAATAAACATTTCATCTTTCTTCGGGAATCAGCCCACAACCACATGGTTAAAAACCACCTGAGACAAGAGAGAAGCATCAAACAGGCCCATTGGGCTGAGCTAAGACAGCCTTGAAATTTTATATCCTTAAAACGTATGAGTTGGTCTGGTTTCAGGGTTCCAAGTAAGCCCATTAAAAAAGCTTCCAAAGCAAAGGCAAGAGAGAAGCATCAAACAGGCCCATTGGGCCTATGTTTGTTGAGATACTATTCTTTTTAATGGTTCGAGAAACTAATATTTTACCACTCATTTATTTTTTTTCCATCCTTTTATTACCAATAAAGTTTTGTATTTTTTTTGAGGTAAATAATTAAAAAATTTGTAGAAAGTGAAGAAATATATATAAAAAAGGATACTATTCTGTATTTAGCACTTCTTCGTGGTTCAATGCATTTACCAATGACAAAATCTTATTAATTATAAGCATGTAAAATTTAATTAGTCTTATATTGGTATAACTTTGATCTCTCTATCGGTAATTGCATTGCTAGGTAGGAGTGAATGTTATTGCATTTTTTTCATATTTCATATTAATTGGAGACAAAATAAATACTAGTAAACATGTTGTAGAGCATAAAAAAAAATAAAGAAAACATTAGAAGCTATGCATGGTGTTTTCTTTTGAGGAAAACGGATAGGAGGCAAAATGAAAGAAAGGAAATAAATCATAGGGCAAAATCTAGCATCAATTATAATGGCATGAAACTTAATTTATTTTATATTAGTATAACTTGATCTCTCGTATAAGTATTGTGTTATTAGATACGAGTAAATGTTGTTCTCACTTTTTTGTATTTCATATTTATTGTAGAGAAAAGATATACCATTAAAAATATAAGAAGTTAAATGTCATGGTAGTAAGAAATAGGATAAGTTTTGAGTTTTTATATAAAGACCTCCTCCACTTAATAGGTATGTTATTTTAATTAAAAGTGTGAACCCCGTGTTAGAATTTATTCAAGTCTTTACTAATATGGGACTACTACGAGAGATACCAATGTTGAAGTAGGCTTGATTAAAATGGGTCTCTTTCTTCTATGGTTGAAAGAACTATTGTAACGAGATTATTGCATAATTACATAAGATAAAATTTTATAAATCTTATACTAATAAGAGATGGAGTAAGTATTGGATTTATAACTAAAGATGTTCTACCACACAATAGATATGTTTTTAAGATTTGAAAAGTGACTCGTGACATACGCATATTGTTGTTCTTTGAGAAAAACAGATGAAGAAACAAAATGAAATAAAACAAAAAAAAAATGAAAGGGTAAAATAAAAAGTTGATTGCATGAAGTTGTAAAAAGGTGTAAAACTTCGATAATATAACTTGATTTCTCGTATAATAATTGCATTATTAGATACGAGTAAATGTTATTTCATTTTTTCATATTTCATATTAATTGCGGAACAAAAAACTACTAGACATATTGTTGAGTTTAAAAAGAAAAACATGACAAGTTATGTATATTGTTGTTTTGAGCAAAATGAAAGAAAGGAAAAAATTAGAGGACAAAATATAACATGCAAAGTTATAAAAAAGGGTAAAACTTAATTAATTTTTCAATAATATAACTTAACCTTTCATACAAGTAAATTGCATTACTAGATATGAGCAAATGTTATTCCATTTTTTCATATTTCATATTAATTGGGGAGAAAAGAAGGGGGCAAATTGAAAGAAAGGCAAAAAATCAAAAGGTCAAAGGTAAATTTGATGGTGCCGTGTCAAAATCAGAGTCGCTGGTTAAATGAGCTGATCACAGGTCATCATTACCTTTTCCAATTTACTGGAAAAAAAAAGAAATTGTGCCCCTTTATTATTATTATTATTATTATTATTGGGTTAAAAAACGCGATCTGTTTCTATTCCTCTGGAGTTCCCGATATTTGGCGAAGCGAGAGATAGAGAGAGATCGATTCCTGTTTCTAAGCTAAATTCGAGAGAACTTGAGTAAATTGAAGCTCTGTCTTTGCGAATCGAATCGAAGATGCTGAGAGCGGCGACCAGGAGGCTCTCTTCTTTCACTTCCTGTCCGTCGGGGTGGAGGCACCACCAGGCTGCCTCCGCGATCGCCCCTCGCCGTTTAATCAACGATACCGATTCTTCCGATGATCTCAGATCAAGCTCCTCCTTCTCTTTCGCTTCTCACTTCCTTCTTCCCACCAGAGGTTAGGGTTTTTCGTCTTACAAAATACTTAGGTTTTTCATACGCTGTCGTGTTCGTATACAAATTTTAAGTAATGAACTTTCTTTGATAATAATCTTTTATTCTGCATCATTTTTAAATGTTCTTTTTTACTTTCGTCTATTTTTTTGATTTGGATATGTGAAAAAGGAAACGTTAGCAAATTAGACACCCCATTTTTTGTGGAATTTCGGTAAATGCTCAAATTAGTCAAAAAAATTGATGAATTTGGATCCAAACGTAGCCCTAAATGGTGAAGATTTAGTTAGCAAATTAGACACCCTTTGTTGAAGGTGTAAAAGAGTTGACATTTAGGGCCAGGCACCTATCTGACGGCAAAGGAAGACTGAAAGGTAGGTCTGGCTTTGTTGGTTGAAGGTGTAAAGGTGTGACGTTTAATCAAAGGCATGTTAAGGAATGCTTTTGCTCACTTTCCTCTTTGTCGTATCATCATCATTACCATTGAAGGAGGAGCTGGACCTTTACACCTTTCCAGTTTACATTTGTTGTTCTTTTTGAGAACCAATATTTACAATGCCTTGCAGTGGAGGCTCTATGCTAGGGTTTCTTTATGTATATTGTGGTTGTTTGGAACTATCCCTAACATTTCCATGACCGTGAGTTGATATTTACCATACAGTGTTCTCCCTTTCCTGGAATTCAACTACTGGAATGGTGAACAATGTTGATTTTGTCATTTTGTGCTTATCCACTAAAGAAACAACTTCTAATGTTTGCTTCAGGTTTCGCTTCTGAGTCACTCACCCCAAAATGTGAAAACAGCATGATTCCTGATGTTCCAGGAACAGTAGCAGCTATTAAGAATCCCACTTCTAAAATAGTCTATGATGAATACAACCATGAACGTTTTCCTCCAGGTGACCCCAGCAAGCGGGCATTTGCCTATTTTGTCCTGACAGGTGGTAGGTTTGTGTATGCATCTCTTATCCGTCTGCTTGTCCTCAAGTTTGTGCTGAGCATGTCAGCCAGTAAGGATGTTCTTGCACTGGCTTCTCTTGAGGTTGATCTCTCCAGCATTGAACCTGGCAGCACTGTTACTGTTAAGTGGCGTGGAAAGCCAGTCTTTATCAGGCGCCGAACTGAGGATGATATCAAGCTGGCAAACAGTGTTGATTTAGCATCACTTCGTGATCCACAAGAGGATGCAGCGAGGGTTAAGAATCCAGAGTGGCTAATTGTTATTGGAGTCTGCACGCATCTGGGTTGCATTCCCTTGCCAAATGCTGGTGATTTTGGTGGATGGTTCTGCCCTTGCCATGGTTCCCATTATGATATCTCTGGCAGGATTCGCAAGGGGCCTGCACCATACAACCTGGAGGTGCCCACTTACACCTTCTTGGAGGAGAACCAGTTGATGATTGGTTGAGAATAGCAGTGTAATAATCAAGCAAACAGTGGTCATTTGGGATCTCATAATTTTTTAATTTTATCAGATAATGCCGAAGACTTGTTGCAGATCTTTGCTTTTGCTGCCCTTTCCTTTCAGGGCATTTTTAGGGTTGTTTTAGTAACTGGGATAATTGTAGCTGTCTCCAGTTGGTGTTGCTCTGAATTCTGAATAAGTTGCCTGGATTTTGCTGAGCATTGATGCTCTTTAGACTTTGACTATTCCAGGATGCTGTTATTTAATTATTTTGATTACGTTTTGAACCATAATGGCACTTCTATTCTGGAAAATTTCCAGCACCAAGCCAATACCTTAGGGATTCTGTCATATGCATAAATCTAGCAAATAGAGTTTCATGGGAAGAGCAATAAAAGCAGGTTAGGGAGGGAGAACCATTAGGACGATTAAGCATTTTTTTCATACATGACAATGCTGCATTTGATTTATGGATGATCACAAAATTTTTCAGGGAACTCTGACGACAAAGCCAATTCCCAGAAGACTCCTACGTAAAAGGCTAAAACCATACACCCGGGGGCCTGGAGTGCATTTCAAAGAGCCGCCAGGTTGCAATATCAACATTTCTTCTTGTCATCTCTCGAAGATACCCTTTACATAGACCATTCCTTTCTCGCTTAGCTTGAGTTCTTTTCTCATCTGGTCTACTTGCTGATCATCACCTTGAACAACAATCTCAGAGAGGGTCCCATCGTCGGCAACCAAGAGTTTAACCTTGATCTGCTCCTTTCTTGATGCCCGCTTCCAGTAATAAGCTCCTCTGCAATTCCACCCAAAGTGTGTCAACTTAAAATCACGATTTCAACAAAAGAAACTGTAGGAGGTGCTTACGCCAGTGGACTTAGAACGGTGATCCAGAACCAGTTATTGCCAACATCTGGAACTGTGATGGTGAGCACAAGGGCAACGCTGGCAAGGCTGATGCAGGTGCAGAATGTCAATAATGCTGCTTGTCCTCTGCTGGGAACCATCATCCCCTCAAACCTTCAAAAACAAAAGCAGTTGCCCCAGCTTTAGTTCGTAAAAAAGCTCTCCTCCTTTTTATCTTAATCTTACCATGATAGTTTGCATTGCATACTGAAATGAATCAATGGTGGTAAGCTTACGTAATGGTTTCTCCTCTATCAGTGACGACGAAATTGTTTCGAGTGAAGAAAGATAAAATTTCTCCACCAACTTGATTTGGTGCCTTCTTCTCTTCCCCTTCCCCTATAAATGTCTTCTGCACTATCTGAAATGTTGTCCCCACGAAGTTAGCTCTGAAATATTGAAAGTGAAAACAAGTACAAACGCAGGAAATCCTCATTCTTATCCCTGCAATTTCTCTACTACTTGGCACAAAATTCTGAGCCAAGGAAAACTGAAAAAACCCAACTTTCTGAAAATAGTTTGCCTCTTACTTGATAAAACAAGGGCAATTGTGGTAGCATGTTAAGATACCTTTGATTTTACAGAGCGTTTGATGAGAGACCAAAGGCCAGGAACAGAGATGACAAAGAGACCAAGAGAAGTGTAGTAGCTAGCCAAGGAATAGCCCGCACTCTCTGCTAGCAAATACGTAGAATCTGGGTTTTGCTGGTAATTCTGGAGATGATCCGAAAGAGCAGAAGAGGATGATAAGAGGGTTTGTTGTAAGGAGAGTCGAGCGAGCAGCTGCCTCCCGGGTCTCAAGTGGGTTGGTGGAGCCCGTCCTAGCCATGGCTGGTGTTGATGCAGGTGTCTACTGTTTCTGCTGCTGAATTCGGAAGGAAGGGAGAGGGAGGAGAGAGCCTGTGGATGTGGTGATATTATCCTTGTTGCCATATCCCAAAGTTGCACTTCCAATGGCAGAGGAACCAGCCAAATTAATTGTTGCCCGATGCCTAGCCCTGTAAAATGGTTAGCCACTCGACTGGCCCAGGTTTAACCATCTCTTTTGCATTCAGACCATTCAAGTTTTACCAGCGTGCCCCAAAACTACAAAAAAACAACTTCCCTTTCTGCTTAAACTTTACGTCTTACAAAAATAGCTATTGTTGTTCAGCAATATGGTTTCCCAAGCAGTAGATGATAAAGTATTTACTGCCAATTTCCCCAACATTTTTCAAATAGGGTTGTAGCATATAGGAGGAAATAATAATAATAACAATATGGCTTAAATAATAAAAAAAATTCTTGAATTATGTCTATTGATTTAATTAAGTTTTTTATTTTTTATTATATCTATTTAAGTCTTTATTTTTTGATTCATACTCCCATAATTTTTTAATTGTAACGAAACTAAATAATCATTGGACTTAATGCCAATGAATTTTTTTTTATCTACATGTCATATGATATGGTTTTGATGATATAATCATATAACTTACTTTTATATCACTGGTTACGTAATTATGTAAAGTGTTACGAAAATCGAAACTATCAGTTGAGATTATATCTGATGATTGTTAATTTTTCATTAAAGTTAATGACTTGTGTAAATAGAAATCAAAAGACAAAAGAGTTTGGTCAAGTACGGAGTTTAGTCGAATAATATAATAATAAAATTGAAAGGAAAATTGGAGGTAAATGCACAAATTGGGACTAAAAGTTTGAACACTTCTTCAATTAAGGGTCAAACATTTCAATTGTAACAATCAAGCACCAAACGTTTTCGATTTTTTATAATTAAGCGCTAAGTTGACAAATTGATGGAACATATATTTTATGTGACAAAAAATCACATTGAAAATGTAATTGTTACACGTCATGTTGAAAATTTAATTGTTACACACCATGTTGAAAATTTAGTTGTTATATGCTATATTGAAAAATGTAATTGTTACATGTTGTATTGAAAATTCAATTATGACACACTATGTTAAAAAATATAGTTGTTATATGTTATATTGAAAGTTTAGTTATTACATATCATGTTGAAAAATGTAATTATTACATACCATGTTAAAAATTATAATTGAAAATTTTAGATCCCGTTTAGTAACAAGGGTGATTGTTGGTTTTTAGTTTTTATTTGTAGAATTATGGAAACACAGACAAAAAATGTGTTTGGTAACCCTATTTTTGTTTTTTCTTGTTTAAAAACGTTTTTAAAATTGGTGGAAAAAAAAAAGCAAACATAAAAAATGTGTTTTACATTTTTTTTTTGTTTTGAAAACAAAACAAAAAACACGCTAAACCACCTTATCTCCAATTAGACTAACACCAAACCACCTCTCTTCCCATTTTCTCCAATTTAACTTTATTTTATCTTTTAAATTTGATTATGCTAATGATAGTGGAGGACGAAAGTCATGTTGGTGGTAGCAATTCACAAAATCCTGTTGACATTAACATATCTCGTGGTCGACTTTGACAAATGACCGTGTGAGAGATGAGATTGAGAACTAGATTTGGGCAAGTGTCTATGACAAATGATTGGTTTAAATGTTAAGTTTGAAAGTTATTGTTCTAATTGTTACTTTTTTCTTTGAATCTTATGTCTTCGGTTGTGTTCTTACCTTTTGGTGTAAGTTTTGAACTTGGTAAAATAATTACAAAAATGTTATTTTGCATATTGGATAATTTAAATGGCTTAATTATTTTTTATTTTGTTATATTTTTTTAAGTTAGTATATAACAAAAGCAAATATATGATATTACCAAAAATGCTTTTATTTTTAAAAGTTTCTTGCAATAGGAATATTACCAAATATATTTTATTTATGCCTTTTTAAGAAAAAAAATGGAAACAGTATTTCTATTTTTATTTAGAAAAAAAATAAATTAAGTTACCAAACGTCACGTTAGTCACATGCCTTGTGATGAAGTTGTTACACACTGCATCATAATTGGAATCATTTTGATTGGGCAAAAAATACTTTATGATAAAATTACAGTTCTAAGTCAACATCCACATCATGCTCGTATCCTACATGTGCTAGATACTTTTCACTTTAACCCTTAACCAAGGACGGCTCCGATTCTCTCAATTTTTAATTTTTTTTATGTGTATAAAATTCATAATATATAGCTTTGCCACCCCTTCACAAAGTAAATGAGTTAGTTTAGAGTAACGGTAAGAAATTTAAGTTAACCTTCAAAGGTTAGGTTCAATTCTTTCTATATCCAAATTTTAAAATTAATTTTTTTTTTTCCTTTTCCTCCCCTCCCCCCTCCCCCTTTTCTCTTTTATAAGTATAGACATAATGCTTAAATAAGTCTTCAAACTATTTAAAATATTCAAATAAGTTTTTATTTTTTTATTACGTTTAATCAAGTCCATGTACTTTTATTTTAAATCAAATAAACTTTTATAACTAATTATTGACTAATTGTTATTAGTCAAAATATCACTTGTAATTTTATATCCACATAACACTGATATGATATTGATGTAAATCGTGAAAAATACTACATGATCATATTATTATAATAAATTAGTATGTAATGTAATCATCAATTATGATATGTTAACATATCATATCATTATCAATTATAATATATTAACATGTTACATTATCGTCACACGACATCAAATGATAAGTGAGATTTTAACTAAGTCAATCATTAATAATAAAGATTTATTATTATTTTTTTATATGCTACTGAGGATAGTGGACATGATAAGGATTTATTTGACTTAAATAAAGTAAAAAAGTTTATTTAGTTCAAAATAAAAATATAAAAGCTTGATTAAATGTAATAAAAATATAAAAGTTTATTTTAATTATTCTAAATAGTTTAAGAATTTTTTTTATATATTATGCTATAAGTATACTAAAGCTTCTTTTTTTTCTTTTCCTTTTGTCACTTTTTGTCCTACTTTTTTCTTTTTCTTTTTTTTCTCCTTTATAAGTATACTAAATTTTCCTTTTTTTTCCTATTTTTTTCCTTTATCTTTATACTAAACCATTTTATTTTTTTAATCATCTATGAATTTAAAAGCATGAAAACACGTCAAGCACAACTCATGATGCATAATGTAAAAATCTAACAGTAATTCTCATTTTGCTTTATATTTATTACGATGCTTAATGCAAAAATTTAATTTTAGTTTTTTTCTTTTTTTTGTTTATTTATATTAAAATTTGAAAATTTATATTTAAATTATTAATAAAATTTTATATTATAATTTAATTTTATTTCAAAAGTGATTAATTTTTTAACTTGGAATCGAATCATTGACCCATTTTAGAGGTGAAGGAGAGGGGGCTAGTAGGGGCCTCACCCCACCCAACAATTTTAAAATTTTTATAGCTTACCTTTATTTTTTTGAAATCTTATAATTTCT